CCTTATCTAATTTACACTTCTTTTACCAAACCTCAGCTTTTCCTGGTTCTATGTTCATAACTGCTTTGCTTCTCCTTTATTCTACCTTAGTTACATTTTGAACCTGGATTTTCATTGTGGTGTTTTCATTGATGTCTAACTTCTCAAGTTATGACCAGGGATTTGGGTTTTCCATTCACCATGAAAAAATGTGGGAAAACCCTAATTTTCTCATTTTAAGGAGAAAAACCTGGATTTTCTTCTTTAAAGGAGAAAAATATGTAAATAGTGGGTTTCCCTTTGTAGGCTGGCACCTCATCATCATGGCACAGAGCTCCCAGCAGCAGCATCAAGCCTCCCTGCCCCACTCTGCCCTGCCACACCGGGTCCTGCCCGCTGGGTCGTGCAGGCCTCGGAGGGGAGAGCAGCAGGGCGGGGAGCGCTGAGCCCAGTGGGCAGTCTGCATCTGCCCCCTGCCACAGGCTCCACTCCAGCCATGCTGCCCATGGGACTAAACAAGTTCCACTGCAGTAGCTGCCACCTCCCACAGATGGTAGCTGGGGCTCAGGCATTGCTGGTGGGGATGGGGCTGCAGACTTGGGTCCCTAGACCCATAGGCCTGGAAGCTGGCAGGGCTGAGGGGCGACTGTGGGTGGGGAGTGAGGGGCACCAGCAGGGCCCAGGGGGTGGTGTTTGGCAAGTGAGGGGCAATGGTATGGGGGGGCACCGGTATATCAGGGCTGCTCAGTGCCACAAAGCGGTGGGGAGGGACAGCCGCAGCTAGACCTGTGTCCTGTTGAGTGAAGGGGGCAGGGAGAGGGGCACTTTTCTGATTTTTCAAGAAACCCTCGCCAAATCAAATGCCAGTATTTATAGGTATTTAGAATGTATTTTATTATAGTGATTGAGGCACTGGTAGGCTTTCAAACTGCTTTAAATGGTAAATATATCAATAAAACATTGTATTCAACTGATACTTTTATATATAGTGGTGTTTCATTTTATCATGGAAAAACGCAGATTTTGGGGGTTTTAATCAGAGAATTTGCTATTTCTATTGGAGAATCTGCAATTTTTAAAGAGAGAAAATCAGGATGCCTGGTTATGACAATTAACACTGTCTCCTTGTCAGGGATGGAGAGTGTTGAACTAGATTTATTTAATTACTTATTAGATTTATATGCCACCCTAGTGTTTTGCAACTAGACCGTCTCTGACAGATGTTCATGCAATATTTTCTAAAACCCTCCAGTGAAGGAAATTTCACACCCTCCCCAGATTATTTCCCAGTGTGTTACCACACTAATAATTAGAATGCTTTTCCTAAAATCTAACTTAATTTGTTTTAAGCTAGATTTCTTCTTAGCCTTCCCCAGGGTGCCATGGGGAAATATTGATTACCGTCCTCTTTACACAAACCTTTTTCTGTGTTATAAAACTGTTACCATGTTCCATTTCCCCCACCTCGTGTTTTCTAGACTAAACAAGTTCTTTTAACTTTTCCTGATAACTCATATCTTCTAAATCTCCTCTTCTCCTGGAGTTTCTCTAATTCATCTCCAAGTATGGTGCCAGAATTTGACACAAAATTGTACCTGACGCCTCATCAGTACCTAGGAGAGTAGAATAAATTATTTTATATATAGCACTCCTCATTCCAGAATGAGATTTGGCTTTTGGGATCATCAGATCATGGACTCTTTTATTTTGTGATGTACCATATCTCCCAGATCCCTTATGTCTATATTACTGTGTAATGACTTAGTCTCATATTTTATAAGCATGATTTCTCTTTCCTAAGTGCAGTACATCACAGCACATCACACTTTTCTTTATTAAACTTCGACTTGCTGATTTCAAACCAACTCTCCAATTTGTTGGAATCATTTTGAATCCTGACCTTACCCTCCCAGCATGCTGTCATCCTCAAATAGTATACTCTCTGTTCCATTATCCAAATTGTTAATGAAAATACTAAATAGATTTGGGCACAGGACAGACTCTCGAGAGTCTCCACTGAAAATGAGGCCCTTGTTTGAGAGGGTTCCATTGGTAAAAGTTGTTTGAAAGTGGTTTTCAACCAGTTGTTGCACCTCTTTTACAGTGGTCTTATGTAGATCATATTATTTACTTTGTGCATGGTGGGATTTGTCCCAGTGAGATCACACAGGAAGCGACAGGGCAACTATCTTTTATTGTACAAATGAAAGGCTTAACTCAAGTTACTCTCAACCAGGGTGCTTTACCTGTGAGCTCCTTTTAAAGTTGTCACTGGATATCATGCAAATTAGCACTGTTGGGTGTGCAAACACCTACATATGATTCACAAAATAATCCCAGAGATTTCGACTAGGAATCCCTAGTGCTAAAACCATTCTGGCCTGCTCTGGGCTGTCTTGCAGCAGATGATTTGCTTTATTATTTTTCCATAGTCAAAAACAGAGTGAAAACTAAGAGCTGCCATTTTCTGAGGGGGTGCCTCGAGTCTAAAAATGTTGAGAACCACTGCTTGATGCATGGGCAGCTGGCGTCTCCTGAGTCGGGGGGGCACTTGACCCCCCCAGCAGCCAGTCAGCGACTAGGGGGCAGTCCCCCCATGGCCAATTGCGCCTTGCGGGGAGCATAGGGATTGCTTCTCCTGATGCCCCCACTCCCTGGCCAGTGCTCTCGGGCAGGGGCACCAGTGCTCTTGCCTGTCGCTGTCTTTCCCATTGTCTAAGTGGGAAACACTGTTGTTAGGGGGTGCACCAGCGCTCTCAAGGGGTGCATGTGTCATGGCCTTATCAAGTCCTTTCATTAATGCACAAAACCCCGAGCATGAAAGGACCTTGTTGCATGGTAAATTTGGGCAGCTCCTAGAGTTCTTAACCCCTGATTGTCTGCACATTAACACCTTAATATGTTTTAAAGCACTCATAATGTGGCTCAAAGTTATGCCACTCCAAGACATGATTATCTCTTGATCCCCACAACTCAGTTCCTGTTCCATTAAGGTGTGGCCACTCCCCATAAATGTGCCACTCAAATTGAAGGTGTGACTGCTCCAAACTCCAAGCTAGCACTAAGCCAATCAACATTTTGTGCAGCTCACAGCCTAAAGTGTAACAAAGCCCAAACAGAGGTTGCCATTGAGTGCCCTGTGGATAGACAGGCTCTGCACACAGCTGTAGAACTTAACACAGGACAAAGACCTTAACTGAGGGGCACAAAACTAAAAAAGAAAAACAAAAAACCTTCCTGGTCCTTCCTCAAGGAAATACAACTGTTTCTTTCCCTAACCTTCAGGAGCCTTTATTTCTATTGTAAATGAACTTAGCAAGGTGGAGAGGTGCGAATTTACATGGAATGCCATAAACTGGGACCAAAAATTAGCAGCAACCCACACAGTGCACAAGTCTTACTGCAGTGCAGCAAACCTGGCAGACGAGATGAGGGTAAACCCACATGCCCTATCTAAAGGGTTACATACTGGGTGTGTGCGCATACTTCCATGAATAGGTGGGGCTTTTTTGTGTCCCTCTCCTCTTGCTGCTTGCTGTTATGCTTCAAGAGCACTCAGTTAAGCCAGTGGTTCACAGCCTTTTTAGACTGGGGCCCCCTGTTAGACTGAGGAAGGGCCTCAGAAAAAGCCATCTCTTTGCTTTCATTAGCTTTTTAATTCAGTCAGAGCAACACTGCTCACTGGAACAGCCCTCCCACAATACACCAAGTAGGTAATAGGGTAAAGTCCTAACCATTAGACAGCACCCTGTGGCACCCTTGAAAGACTCCTTGCACTCATTTGATGGCCAGTGGGCACTGTCTGGTTTAGTGTCTCCCCTTGGAACTCTTGTTATGAACCTTTGACCTCCACTCCTGTCACTGTTTTGATTGTTTGTCCCAAGTAATCTGTAACATGTTGCTAATGGCCTCCAATACTAAAGGGACCTTACAGTTTCCTTGGCAGGCCTGAGCCCCTGAAATCCCCTGGTTGGGAAGCACTGCCAGGTGGACTGCAGCACCTCAGATCCTGACTGGAAGCTGCTGCTCGCATCCATGACATGAGGTGCCACCTGGGGGAGTGCTCCAAGCACATGGAGCTGCCTGATGGCACCCTCCCCTCCACTCATCACCAGCCATAGGGAACCCCCACTGCTTCCTGCCTCAGGGCTGGCAAAGGGGATCCCCACCCCAACCAGCACTAGCTGAGCACCTGGTGCTGGTGCCACCTGAGCTGTGGGAGTGCCCCCTGCCCCCCGCCCAGTCTTGCAGGACCCCAGCATAGGTTCACCCCGGGTTGCCAGGTGTACTATAATTATTGCATTTGTACAATAATTTCAGCCCTAGTATGATCAATAATAGTAAAAGTGTTCAAAATGTACTATCATTTTTGAGACAGCTCATTGATGCAGCATAGGCAAAACCCAGGTCACTCTCAGGGAGTCTTAACTGACTTTTGGGCTGGCTGTCAGCACTTTCTTATGCCTGCTTGCCTCAGAAGAAGGAAATGCTTGAACTTTGATGACCCAGTTTTCACTCACTCACTGGTACTTAATAGCGGGCAATAGAAAGGGAATGAGACAATTTACGTTCTTAATTGCATACTTGCATTTTTTTCAGTGTACGATCGTTTTTCAGCAAATTCGATCATTTTGAGCTTCCAGCAGAATCGTTTGATATCTAGGACCTGGCGTCACCTGGGAAATATGAAGGCAAGCACGGCTCTACGTCACAGAAACGCAACTGCGCTCTGTGATGCCGCTACACCCACAGGCAGAGCGTGGTGCAGGCTTTGACGTCACTGCGGTAGGAGGCGGGTCGCTGCGCTCGTAGCAGGCGGGGGGGGCGCAGCCTCGCTGGGCGGGGCGATGACGCGCCCAAGAGAACCCTGAGCCCAGCTGCCCCGCCCCACCCGCGCGGGAGGCGGGGCCGAACGGCGAAAGAGAGGACGTCCCGCGGGACTACAGCTCCCGTCGGCCTTTGCGGTCGCGCTGGCGTCATGACGCAACAGCCGCACACGGCCCGTTGGGGCGGGGCGTGGCCAGGCCGGGCTGGGCGAGGGGCCGGCGCCAATGGCGGCTGGCGGACGGGGCCGGTAGAACAGTTGCCCGTCGCCCCCATTGATTACCACTGCGCCCCACTGCCCGTCTGCCGCCGCCATGGAGGCGCTGATCCCGGTCATTAACAAGCTGCAGGACGTGTTCAACACAGTGGGCGCCGACATCATCCAGCTGCCACAGATCGTCGTGGTGGGCACCCAGGTGAGGCCGCCCCGCTCTGCCCGACGGCGGCGCCTGACCCTGCGCGGCCGCCGTCAAGGGCATTTCCCTGCGCCCACCCCCACCTGGCCTCTGCCCCGCACTACATCGGGCCCTCGCAAGGGCGGCCTCGTGCGGCGCCCGGGGAGGGGCAGGGCAGGGCAGTGGGGCTCTAGCTTTTCCAGGCTCGAGGCCCCTCTGGGAAAACACTGGCTCTTGGTTTTTGCTTTTTTTTTTTTTTTT